GACACATTCATACGTAAATCATCTTCACTTTTTTTAGTTAAAAATTTAAGAAGATGGCCGATGGCTCAGCCCTTAATAACAGGGGCTGTTCTTGTAGAGGGTGTGGATTCATATCCCAGGGCCCACATGGTGCCTCACAATCTTTTGCAGCTTCAGTTTCAGGGGATCAGATGCCCTCTTCCGGTAGGCACTAGGCACGCATGTGGTGGTTATATACATTCAAGCAAAGCACTTACACACAGAACATAAAACGTAAAAATGCACAAGCCAGGCAGTGGCGGCGCACACCTTTAGTCCCAGCATTTAGGAGGCAGAGGCAGGCAGATCTCTGAGTTTGAGGCCAGCCTGGTCTACAGAATGATTTCCAGGACAGCCAGGGCTACACAGAGAACCCTGTCTCAAAACAAAACAACAACAACAAAAAACCATGACAGTTGTGACAGTAAGCCCTGTGCAAAGTTCAAGTAATATCAAATCCTATCAGGGAGAGGAGAGTTGGGCAAAAAGTCCTGTCCCTAACCAAGAAGCTGTTGGCAACTGGTGGCTGCTGGGAGATAGTTAATAGTTTAAACTTCAGTAAGTCAAACATGCTCCAGCAGAAGGCCACACATCCAAGGATATATTGGTAGCAAAAACTGAACATGATGGATATTAAAAAAAAGGGGGGGGACACAAAGTTGTATGGTGGGAAGGGGGTGCTCCTGGGAGTAAATGATGAAAACAAATGGTAGGAAATTCTCAACTAATTAAGAGTACAATAAATCTTTAAGGAAAACAATCTTATAAAAGGTGGGGAAAGAATTCCAGGGAGAGCCAGGCAAGGTGGTACAGGCCTTTAAGGGAGGCAGAGACAAGTGGATGGATATGAGTCTGGGCCTGTAAAGCGAGTCAAGGACAGTCAGGGCTGCACAGAGAAACCCCGTCTCAAAAAACAAATAAACAACAACAACAACAACAAAGAATCCCAGGGAGAACATCAGTAGCAGTGATTTGCATGCCTAGCAGGACAGATCAGCAGATCTGAATAATTCAGGGATCAACGCATCCAGGAATATTGTATTGGATTTCTCTTACACCACAATTACGTAACACCTCGTTCCCAAGTGAACCTTGGTGCGCTAGAGGGAAAGCCATGAAAACAAGTCTTTACCACACTAAGGCCCAAACAACCCTCCTCTGGGACCACCCTATAGGAACAGGACAATGATGTCGTGCCTCCTTCCAAGCTTGTTGTAACTGAAAGCAGCTTGGAGCCTAACCAAGAAAATCTGGGGGTGGGAGTGGAGTAGTTAGTCCCAGGGAACTGCCGAAGAGATGGGTACAGCGTCGGGGAGGAGACACACATGCCAGTCACCCCCACCTTGTCCTGCACTCAGATTCTAGGCATCCATAAGGAGAGCTGAGCTCAGTCATTTACCGGCGGGTTTACCTACGCATGAGCTTCACGTTGTCCAAGGAACTTTTCAGAAAACACTGCCCCCCAAGATTCTGACATGCTTGCTGACGGGAGATGCTGCTTCACCCTAAAATCACCAGGGCCCTGAACCATGGTTCCTCTTGAGTGCATCGTTCTTTTACATTTGCTGAGATGTGAACTGAACTGAAAACCTCAGTGTTCCTGACTGTAAGTCAACATGTAGGCAAGGTTTAAAAGTCCTATTTGGCCAGATGGTGATGGCACACGCCTTTAATACCAGGACTCGAGAAGTCGGAGGCAGGTAGATCTCTCTGAGTTCGAGGCCAGCCTGGTCTACAGAGTGAGTTCCAGGACAGCCAAAGCTACTTCGCAGAGAAACCCTGTCTCAAAAAAAAGAAAGAAAGAGTGCTTTTGGATTCCACATTCGTTTATCCCTAAAAACAAACAAACAAACAAACAAAAAAACACTGGGTTTCGCTTGCGAAGTGGCACATGCCTATAATCCCAGCATTTGGGAGGTAGAGGCAGGAAGATCATCCTTAGCTACATATTTACTTTGAAAAGACCGTCCCGCGTCGGACGTTGTTGCGAGAATAACAAAGAGGGGTTGCAGCTGGCCTGGATGCCTGACTGACACGGTTAAGTATCCTTGCAGATGGAAAGGCTGCTGTTCTGTTCCCTGCGAGGTCAATATCCACTCCTCAAGGGGCACAGAACCACGAGGTTCGGGAAACGGGCCCCGTACGGCTGGCTTCGAGGGCCGGGCAGCCGCGGAGATACAGAGCGTCCTGGGCAGCGGAAGATTAGGATTTGAGACCTGGAGAGACCTCGCGTGATTCCTCGAAAACCTCGGGATTTCCGGGCAGGAAGTCAGAGGGCGGGCGCAGCGTGGCTCTAAGGTTTAGGAACTGGAGGAAGGAAGGGATTTGGCGGATTGAGCGTTCCAGGATCAAGAGCAAAGGAGGAAGCCGGCACGGTGTTCGGACGGGGAAGGGGCCCGCGGCGCTAAAGCCAGCCCTTGCCAGGGGTAAGCGGAAGGGGCGGAGCCAAGCCTAACTTTTGAGTGGCAGGAACGACTTCAGGGGCGGTAGTGTTTCCGGACAGGCTACACACAAGGAGGCTGACTTCCCTTAGACTGATAGGCCTTGAGGGCGGAGCTTGAAGCTGACGGGCTTAAGTAGGAAACAAAGGGATTTAGCTTTGTCCCTTAAACCAGGGGTCCTCGTGAAAGTGGAATACTGTCCCCGACTCCTACTTCCACCCCGGTGAATGCTCATTTCTCAGGAAGATTGCAGTCGTGTGGAGACTGCTTGGAGGATGTACGTAGCTAGGATTTGTCCCGGGAAAACCTGTGATATGCCTTATTGCTAACTCTGACAGCATTTGAGAAACTGGTACGAAATTAGAAGGGAAAGACAGGAAAACACATCCTCCGGAGATGACCTGCCAGCCTTTGAGGAGGTGAAGCGTTGTCTACAGAGTACAGATAACTGTTATACAACAGCCTTACTAATTTTGCCTGGCACAGATTGCTTCCCTCCTCCCCCAGATGAGTTTATCTTGCATGGATTCACCATCAAAAGTTCAGGGTGTCCCATATTTCATCAAGAGTGAAGTTATTTACTCATGTGCGCAAGCTGTAAAACTCAAGTTTGGAAACTCTGTAGTGGCGGAGGCTTTTTGTTTTCTTTTTGATAGAGTACTGAAGACTGAACCCAGGGCTTTACATGTGCTGGGCAAGCGCTCCACCACTGAGCTATATTCAAGACACGTCTCATGGAGTTGCCCGGGCTGACCATGAGCTGGCTTGTAGTCAAGGCCCTGCTGGCCACATGAGTAGCTGGGCTTCTGGTCCAGCTTCCTTAGTGGCTTCAGGAAAAGTTTATGCATAATTGGGGACCTGTCAGTTCTGCTAGTCTGTAAACAAACTAGGCCCAGGGAGGTGCTCCTGAATATCAGAGGGACCCGGTTTAGCTGGCAGGTGAAAGGAAGCACAGAGGTTGGGAGTCACAGCTCAGCTGGAATCTGGCTCCAGTGACCTTTCTCCGGTTGTTTTTCTTGTTGCTTTTTTTCTTTTTGTGATAGGTTTTGTGATAGAGTTTCTGTAACCCCAGCTGTACTGGAACTTGCTCTGTAGGCCAGGATGGCCTTGATCTCAGAAATCTGCCTGCCACTGCCTCCCAAGTGGTGAGATTAATGCACCACCATGGCCAGCATCTTGTTGCTATTTTTGTTGCCTTGTTATTTGAAACAGGGGCTCGTGTAACCCAGGATGGCCTCAAATGTTGTATAGCTGAGGATGACCTTTAATTCTCGGTCTTAGCCAGGAAAGGTGATGAATGCCCTTAAAAACTCAGCATTAGAGAGGCAGAGGCAAATAGATCCCTGTGAGTTCCAGATAAGCCTGTTTTCACACCAGCTAGGGCCACACAGTGTCTTGCAGGCGGAGGGGATCCTTTTCCTCCTGCTTCAGCCTCCCAAATGCCAGAATAACAGGCATGCCACACAGTGGCCACTTTCTTAATGTCCCAAAACTTACGTCTTTTCTTAAAAAGGCATAATGTGCCTGTCTCACAAATTTTGAAGATCAAAAGATGAATGACTTCAAGAAGTTGGCTGCATTGAGCCTGGAACCACACCACAGGACTCAGGGAACAGAAGCTGGTGTCAGCATTCCTTCCCACACAAGTAAACTGTTGCTTACCCAAGATGAGTAACCAGGTTCACTTGCAGAAGGACCATTTAGCCCGAAAGATTTCACCCAAACACTTATTAAAAGCTGGAAAAGGGACACGGGGGCTGTTTTCTTGCAGGGAGTGGAGTATAAAGTTTTTATAGGTTTATTCATGATAATTTCCTGTGTCTAACAAAGCTACGACTCCAGGAAAGAAAGTAATAGTAAATTGTTGGCGCCTACCAGGTGTATACAAGCACAAGCTTTCCTGACTCATCTTCTCCAGGGCATGGAAATGTTATAAAAGTAGTAGGGAGGCCGTGAGAGGGCTCAGTGGGTAAAGGCACTTTCTTCCAAGGCTCATGACGTGAGTTTGATCCTCAGGACCCAACAGTAGAAAGAAAGAACTGATTCCTTCCTGACAGTTGTGTACTCTGAGACACACACTCACACACACACGGGGAATGAAGGACCCTGGGTGATGGGAAGGGATCCTGCCAGGCCAGTTTCCATGGTGAACTGGTAAAGACAGAGGATGTGCTGGTTCCCTAGCAGCTTCACCCTGGTGGAGCAGGTAATCGTTGGCCTCCTCTCCCCTCTATAAAGGTTTCCTAGGGATTGAGGTCACCACCCCATGCCAGATTCTTCAAGGAAACTGACAAGCCAAGACCATGAATTAATATATATGTGAAGAGCCCTCTTAGTGGAGAAAGAAATGAAAAGGAGCATCCATCTTCCAAGGGAATGGGTGCTAGCCCGAGGACCCATTTTGTAAGCTCAGAGAGCCCTCTGCTGGGAGATGAGATTCCCTACAGATGGTAGGGAAAGTTTTGGGGGATGCTGAAGGTAGGACTCTTCCTGGACACTTACCTAGACACTTGGAACATGGAACAAGTGAAGATCCAGAGCTAGACAGGATTGCAGTTTATTGACACCATGACATGACAGCTGTTGTCACTGGAGGAGGAGGAGGTTAGTGGGGACAAGAAAGAGGTTTCAGTGGACCTCACTGGAACCTTTCCATCCACCCTATTCACCTTTTAGCTAGAGGTCATGGGATTCAAAGTAGAGACCTAATTCTGTATCCTGGAGTCACTACCATCCACATCTTTCCTAATCTCATCTTCCATTTGGTCCAGATATTGATGCCTGGGTCCCTCCTCTTCTTGAGGTAATGGGCAGGACCTTTTCTCAAGAAAGAGAAGGGCTGCTGGTGATGGCGCACACCTTTGACCCCAATACTCAGCAGGCAGAGGCTATAAGATTTCTGAGCTCCAGGACAGCCAGGGCTACACAGAGAATCCCTATCTGAAAAACATAACATATCAAAGAAAGAGAGAAAGAAAGAGGAAGCTGCAAATGTAGCTTAGTGGTAGAGTTCTTGCCTGGCATATGTGAGTCCCTGGGTTCTTCCAGAGAAGGGGTAGATGGGAAGGAAAGAAGCCGGGGGGGGGGGTGTATCTAAGAAGGGTCAATGAAATACAGAATTGCCTGTCTTGAGATTGTACACTCGAGGCCTGTGTTTAAGCACCATTCCCACACCACTCCCCCTGTGAGTGGGTATGGGTAGTGGCAGTTCCTGAAGGGAGAAATGCTCACTCTCCCTTTGTGGCTTTATGATTGGGGAACAAATTGGAATTGTGGGATTTCTGTCTGAGTCATGGCATGAGTCATCAGAACAGACCAAGAAGGCCTAAGGCCGTCCTCGAAAGCACCCCCATTGCACTGTGTAGGGCAGCACACCCTACTGACACTCCTTTGTTCCACGAGAAGAGAGGAGCCATTCTAGAATATGGGGCACAGCAAGCACGAGCCCCCTGCCTCTCTGATCCCAGCACTGCTTCCTCTGGCAGCCCAGGCCGTGAGCCGGCTTTTGGAGCCAGCCATTCGAAACCTGAAGGATTATGCTCTGCTCTGTTTGGCCTGCTGATATCCTTTCGTCCATGTTCTGGGATCCAGAGGCTTGTCTTGTGTCCAGAAAGGTGAGGTGCTGCTAAAAATGACTTGGCTAGAGGAACAGTCTAGGGATGGAAGTCTCACCTCTAACCTGGCTTGCTGCTAGGTGGGCAGGAGACTGAGGAAGGAAGCCAAGTATCATAACATCTTAGAACAGCATTTGTGTACTTAGCTTCCAGGACCAAACATAAAAACATATATGTTACGTGTGTATGTCTGTGCACACACACAAGCATGGGAGGCATGAGTTTTGTGACTTGCTCTTTGAAACCAGAGAGGAGAGGAGAGGCTTATAGGAGTGCCGCCCCCCCTTCTAAGGGGTTGCTTAGACTGTGGCTGCTGCCCACATCAAGCCCCCTGCCCAGTACCCGGAAGATTAACAAGCTGTAGGATTGCAAGGTGGCACCAAAGAAGCAGCCTCAGGAGGCAAGGAAAGGGAAGAGGCAGACTCCCCTCAAAGCCCCTTGTTGTAGTAGACCACATCGATGCTGGGGTTTTGTGCTTGGATCTGAGCTCTCAGCTCCGGCTCCAGCCTGGTCACATGTATGGAGCTGCAATAGAACAGCACAGGCTGGATGAGTGTGCCCTGGACGCAGCATCTCAGACACAGATGCCCAGCTGCTCCCAGGGGAAGAAAGCGCTCCTGCTTTCCAAAGGGCCGGCTCACTGCCATTCCCCCAGCCCAAGTCACAGTGCCTACAGGCCTCCCCCGAACACCGAGGGCCTGAGATGTGGAGCCCTGTGCAGAGACTCTGGCCCAGTCCAGGGGGCATCACTCACCTTCTCTGAGGGAACAGAGCGCAGCACAGGGGTGTGGCAAACACCAGGCTAGGGGAGAAGAGCACAGGAAATGTCTGTGAGACTGGCCTGAGCGTTCCCTCCCTGCCCTCCCCCCCGCCTTATGGAGGGAACCCCAGGAGTGAAGGCTTTTGTGAGCTCTCTCCCAGCCATGAAGGTTGGACAATGGAGCCAAAGGACCATTCAGGGATGTCAAACTCAGTCTTGATATTGGATTCTCGCTGAGGAAAGAGCCTCCCAAGCATTGATCCAGAGCCCCGTGATCAGAAAGTGACAGAACCAGGAATAAAATAGGAGGGGACTCCTGAGTTGTACAGGCTCATTTGTATGGTTTCCTTTAGTGGATGAAGACTGAACCCCTCAACTAACGGGTTGACTTTCAAGGGCAAGAACCTCTAGGACCTCCCCTCCAAACACACACATGTATTTTGCACTGTGAGTATCGATCCCAACTGGATGTAGGATTGAGCGGTATATGTAAGCATCTCAAAGGCAGTAAGTGTCCACCCACACCCAAAATGATAAAGGCTGTCCCCTGTGTCCCCCTCAAACCCCTCTGCACACTTACCAGAAGCCTACCAGTCCCACTTGCAGAGGCGCCCCCAGCCAGGGACGGCGCTGTGGGGAGACAGAGAGACAAGAGAACGGCTTGCGACCGGTTTTCCTAACCTCCATCTAGCTTTCCCTACCATGGTCCCAGCGTGCGAGCCTTCCTCTGAGTCCTTGGACATGTAGATGTTTCTCCCCAGCCAGTGACAGGCTGGCACCTTCATCTGGCACTTCCCACCCCAGCCCTACCTGCCGCCTCTCTGAATTGGTTCCCGTGATACTCTCCAGCCATCTTTCTCTTATCTCACTTTATCCAGGAGCTACTTTCTTCAGAAAGCCTCCTTTGAGTCTCCACGCACTTCCTGTCATCCCAGTGGCATAAATCTGTCCCTCTCCACACCCTTCTCCATCCACAATGTGTCAGCCTAAGCTGGCCTCAGGGCCTTTGAACTAACTGTTCTCTCTACCCCAACAACTCTTTGCCTGACTCACCTTATTCTTTGGCTCTTCCAAGGCCCCATCCTTGCCTAAACTGTTCCCCAGATAGTAGCAATTACTCTGTCCCACTGGTTTCCTACAAAGCATATTGCATAACTTTACAATGATATGTTTGTTTTTGTTTGTTTGTTTGTTTCATTGGTTTTTGTTTTGTTTTGTTTGAGAAAAGGTCTCATTGTGTAGCCCTGACTGGCCTGGAACTTTGTATGTAGTCCAGGCTGGCCTCCAACTCACAGAGATCCACCTGCCTCTGCCCCTGGAGTGCTGGGCTTACAGTGTGCACCCCGGCGCCCAGCTCCTATTGCTTGCCCCATTGTTTGTTGGTCTCTGTACTAGACTGTTAGCCTCATTCAGACGGGGTCTACAACTATCTTAGTTCTGTTCAACCTGTCTGGCCACAGTCTGTGCTTAATACTGATCTGTGAATAAATGACTTGATGAATGAGCTGGATCTTGTATTCCCTGAGCCTTGCTTCTCTACCTTGTTTGTGCATTCATGAGTATGTATGTGTGCCTGTTAGTGGGGGACACAGTGAGTGACATTATGAGTGTGCTATCAAGCAGCTTGATGACCTCTGGGGTTCATCTAGTTTCTTCAGGAGAGACTCCATTTCCTTCCTTCTGTCTTCTCCCTCACTGTTCCTTCCCTCCAGCCCAATCTTTCTTCATGAATGAATGAAGGTGTGGAGGCAGGGGAGGGAGGCAAGTCTCAGATTCAGGCAGCCTGGAGAGAGGACTGGGATAGGTCATTTCTCCTCGACACCACCCCTCCTGGGGCAGGATAGGTAAGAGGGGAGTTGTTTACCTTCAGGAAGTCTTTCTTTTCCAGAGCATTCATGATCACTGGGGGAATGGCTGAGGGGAGAGCAGGACAGTGAGAGTGAACTCTAGGAACCTGAGGGAAGGCCTCCCTCCCAATTCCTCCCAGATTTGCTGACTCTAGTTGTCAAAAGCCCCTGAGAACCTCAACCCCTTTCTCTCCAAGCCTCCTAAGCTCCACCCAGCCATCCCTGCCTCACCCATGGCCGGAACTGCCATGCCGATTCTTGATATCACCACCTGGAAGATTCCCTGTTTGGCAGCAGTCACCGAGTGGCCAAGCCTCTGACCTGCCTCATCAGTCACTGGGATGCCCACCTGCAGCTCCCTGAGAAGAAAAAAGGGCTGGGCTCAGCTCATAGGCAGCACCTGGAGACACTGTGCCTTCCCCACTCAAAGACTGGTTCAGAACAGCTCCCAGGGTGTAGGGTAGATCCCAGAGAGAGTAGAGAGGTACCTGTGCTAGCCCTGCCCAGCCAGAGAACAAGGGTCATTTTGGGTCATTCAGTGTGGGTTAGAGAAGAACTACAGTGTAGGGTGATTCCCAAGGAATTGAGATCCAACATGATCCCAGTATTCAGTAGGGGAAGGCAGGCAGATCTGTGAGTTCAAGGCCAGCCTGGTCTACATAGTGAGTTCCAGGACTACACAGAGAAACCCTATCTCAAAACAAAACAAACAAACAAGCAAACAAAAAGGCACGTGGAGCATTATGACCAACAGGCTGGTACCACAACTGCCAGAAATGTGACTTTCTTGATGGTGCATAAGACACCTCAGGGTACATTTTTGCTTACTGAAAATCACTGTCATCCTGACCATCATATATACCACTAATCCTCACTCAAGTCATGGAGACCTGGTCTGGCTGCTCCCCAACACCACATGCCCCTAGCAGCAAGTTCCCAGGGAAAGCACCCTCTGTAAAACTGTGGGTCTGCCCACACCCCTCAGTCTCACACCTCAAGGCGAGTTCTCACACAGTGGGGCCTGCTTGCTCTCGAACACAGGATGAGCATAAGCCAGGGCCCAGCAGCTCACATCCAGTGGTGAAGAGGACCAGCCGTGCACCTGGCTGTTCTGCAGGAGTGGAGGGCATGTCATGTATGCTCTGGACATCCCTGTGCCAGGAGCCAGGACCACTCACCTCTGCCTCATCAGGGGGATGTTGATGCAGTTGGCAGCGGCCACAGCGGCAAAGGGCACAAATCGGCCAACTAGTGGGGGTAGGTGCTGGGGAGGAAAGGAGGTGTTCAGTGGCTCTGAGGCCCACGGGCAGAGAGGAACTCAGCATGGATGGGAGCCTCTTGAGAGGGTAACAGGGAAGAAGGAAAGGAGTAAAGGGTTAATGAGAGGCCAGTAGTGGTAGGGAGACTTCACCTTGGTGAGAGACTTGAGTCCCAGAGCGGTGGCCACAGCCCCAGTGGTGGCACTCACGTAGGCTGTTCCCAGCTGCCTGTGGAGGAAAAGGCTAGGTCATAAGATGAAATGAAGCATTTCCTTTAGGAACGGTACATGTTTCCATGCAGGTGGTGTCAGACAGTAGCCTCCCTTTCCTGTTCCAGCGCAAACTTATGTGAAAGTCCTTCTCTTTCTTTAAAAGGCAAGTGGATCCCCAAAACAACTACAAAAGGACTGAGTGCCCCCAGGTGGTGGGCAAACAAGCAGATGAACAGAGAGCTGAGACCCTGGCACAAGAACCCGGAACAGCTGGGGAGGAGGCCTTGCAGGCATAAGGTTATTGTGTAACTCAAATGCTGATTTTTGTACCCCCCATGTTTGGTTGCAATCCTTGTTCTATAAACTCTGTTCCCCAATTGTCCCCTGATGGCCAATAAAACACCTTACAGCCAATTGCTGAGCAGGTGAGAGAATAAGGCTGGACTTCCTGCCAGCCAGTGGAGGAGGAGTTAAAGGAGGAAATAGGGGATTCAGCCACAGGGAGAGGTCCAAGAGGAATCAAGAGAAGGAGCTGGAGCAGGAAAGCTACAAAGCGCAAGCATCTCTGGGATGTACGATGGGAAGCCAGATTAGCTTAGAGAGTTAATAACAGAGTAACAACTGCTCAGTTCTTGTGCTGTGAAGCTTACTATTAAACAAATATAAAAGAGTCTCAATTATTTGTGGGATAGCCGGGTTAAGAGAGAAACTAAGAAAAACAAACAGTTTTCTCTCACCGCACAGTGATGGGGGCATCCCCACTGCGATTGGAGTAATTCACAATAGCATTGAAGGACTGGTTCACCCACTGCCAGAACACCACAGTCGGAGTCTTCCTGAGGGTGCAAAGATGGACTACTTACAGCTGTCCCTCCACGGTATTCCCCCATCCTTGAACCCCCAACACTAAAACCCTCAAGGGTCCTTAATTCAGGTGGGGCTTAAGTGATGGTCCCCAAACTTTGCCCTTGCCACTCTTGCAGGCATTTGTCTAAAGCAATGGAGGCTGGGTTCTGATGAATGGAAAGAATTCTCACATATTTTCCACCCACTGTCCTTCACCCAAAAGGGTGCAGAAAGGACGATTCTTGTCACCATGCTCTGGAACACAACACTCAGGAAGGGCATACGGGGTAAGATTTACCTGTAGAAGGTGAGCATGCAGCCAGTGATGGTCATGTTCATGGGCACCTGGGCTGACATGCGGCCAATCAAGACCACCTTCTCCCCTGTGTCTGGATGGAATGCTGAATCATACACATACTTGGCTCTCCAGAGCTGGTCCTCAGTGAGCCCTGGGGTTGCCACACCAGCCCTGTAGAAATTGGCAAGGAACCAGCAGGCTGTTGTGGGGGTCAGACCTGCCCTTCCTGTCTCTGCCGCTTGCCTCAGGGAACTCTGGGCAAAGGACCAGGAACTTGAATCAAGGAGCAACCTGTTCCTGGGGGAGGTCAAAGCTTCTCATGAGTGTGTTCTCCTATTTCTACATCTTTGGTGGTCTCACATTCTCTCTGGGGTCACAGTGATGGTGGTTTTCAAAGGGTCTGAAATGACTGGGGGCCTTCCAAGAGACAAACCTCCTGAAGAGAAGAGGATTGCCTTTCTCTCTGCATGCGACTCTCCTTTGTCCTTGCAGAGTGACCGCACTGGGAATGGTCAGTACAGAGGATCTGTGCACTGCAGAGCCGCCTGCCTGTAAATCCAGTTCTGCCTCCTCAATCCAAATGTCCTCAAAGCCTTTATGCTAAAGTGCTGTGTCACAGCCGGAGGAGTTGAGGCAGGTGTACCTGTAATTCTGCACAATGTTCCGGGAAGCTTCCAGCTGTTCCCCGGACAGCAGCAGGTTTCGAGGGTCAGTAACTGTGAAGAAGTGTCGTGCTCTGCCTAGGAATGTGCTTTGGTCCCATCGAGGTTCCTGGATGTTGATATTTAAGGGCAAGTCCCCCATCTTCTGCAAGGCAGCAAGAAGAAGGGTCAGGTCCAACAACTTCACTTTGAGGAAACTTTGGGGCTCTGCCCTGGTCCCAGAAACTATGACCAGTCCTTGCAGAGCTCAAGGTGACTCCAGATCTGTAAGCAAGGGCGAGGGAAGGGTTGTTTTCTAGGTAGAGTCTTAACCAGGCACCTAAGGCCACTGAGGAGGAGGAAAGACCAGAACTAAGAATATAGCTTTCCTCTCGCTGTGGCCTGGTGCGGATTTTACACGGCGAGGATTTACCTGTATGTGGTTGATTCACTAGCAGCAGCTAATCCGGAAGAGCTATCTTGAGCTCCTGCTGTAGCAGTAGAGAACACGGATAACATGCCCAAGCCCATTTCAGCTTCAGGCCCTAGCTGCTCCAAGACCTAGATAAACACTTCCAAGGCTGTTTGGGAAAATGACAAAAGGCATCCCACACTCAAGGCCCTGCTTGGAGGAGAGCAGGGTCATAAGGCGCCTGAGGCTGACAGATACCAGATCTCACACAGAGCTCTCGGGTGGCAGCCATTTGTGAGAATGTGCGCGTGCACACGTGCCCTCCAAACCCATTTGCCTCAACTCCTGCACAAAGACCCGGGGCTCTCCCTGGTCCCTGGTTGAACAGGGCTCCACAGACACCCATCAAACTCTCTCTGAGCCATCTACCTCAGGAAAGGGCAAGATCCAGTGGATGCCCCTCCACCCAGCACAGAAAAAGAATGCCTGGAGCAGCCGTCTGGCTGTGCTGGGCAAAAATCCTGCAGAATGACTAATCCCCTCCAACCCCACTTCCTCCCTCACAGTAGACACCGCCCGACTCTCACATACTCATACACAAAGACAGGCACGCCCTCCCCGGCACACAAACAGGTTAGATCCACACTGTATACATTTGCCAACCAGCCAGAATACCGTTACACACACACACACACACACACACACACACACACACACACACACACAGCCATATCTATCAGTTGCAAACATTGGAAAGTATGCCTGCACACAGCCTCAGCCAACCAACCCTCCTTGTGCCCTACAGATCCTAACAGATCTCGCAATACAGAATCTCCACGAGAGAGCGCGCCTTTGATGGCAAGCCTCCTCTTCTGACCCCAAGCCCTCACCCCCACGCTTTGCTGACTCCCAAGGCAGCAAGCACTCACGCTTTCCGGGGTTTTCAGCCTCTAGGAGCTCTCAGACCCGCCTTCCTCACCGCACTCTGCTTTCCTCCCAGCCATCACCCGGACGTCACGCGTGACGCTGAGCAGCAGGGAAGGGCGGGGGCGCCCTAGGCTCTTTCGCTCAACCCACTCCTCTCTTGGCAGAGTTCCGGGGCATTGCGTGTCTTATGGAGTGAGTCCCCCAGACCAGGCCGTTGAGACCAGACCCTGCCCAGTCTTAGGAAGCAGTTCTGGCCGTCTTCCCAACCAGAAAGGGGGGGGGGGAGGAGCCGCCCCACTCTCCTCCTTCGCTTGCAGTCCCTTGGCTTGCCTCGGGAGGCTCCCGACCGGGCAGCACCCAGTCTAGGTGCACAGGGCGCGGGTAAGCGGAGTGGAGGGCGGGCCTCGGATGGTGCGCCGCCCGGAGGGACTCGGGTTACTGCTTGTTTACTTGCTGGCTGCCTTGGCAATGGCTTCTGCCCGCTTGGGTTCTGGAGTCTGCTACTCCAGAACCTATGGGCCGAGTCATTCTCATTACCATTTGCGTCCCTTCTCATCCACATTCCTGTGGTGCCTGTGCCTCTTCTGTGTCCCTAGCCCTCTTTACCATCCAAGCCCCCAGCTCCACTGTGCCAGCAGTTCCTTTGCGCCCCCAACGCTTATCCGTGCACAGACTGAAGCTCCAGTCCCTGGGGTGTGCACAGCCAGAGTCTTCCGAGATCTCTGCCCGCATCCAAGCAGGCGCAACGGAAAGATTCCTCTCCCGCTAGTGTTCCGGGATCGGCTGCTCTGTCTTGCGGACTTTCCAGGACACGGTGCCCAGGGAAGCATTTTTTTCGACTCAGAGGGTGAAGAAGGCATCACACACGCACCCCTCATCCGTCAGCACCCAGAAGACGGCCGCTGCACACCCGGGTCCCAGCACTCGTTCCTGCTCTTCTCAGGCTCACGTTCAGCTCTTTCGCTTGGGACATTCTCCCAGAGACCTCAGGAGTGACTACGAAAGTGGTGGCAATTTCATGAGCCGGGGAAGCTAGCATGACCTGGAGAGGACATGATTCGAGTCGTCAGTGCGGGGGCTCCAGAGCTAACCCCTAGGTTCCAACGACCAGCGGGGTTCAGAATTAGGGCGGGCAGAGCCCAAAGGTATTAGGCAGGTGAGGAGCTACAACCCGGACGAGCTACCAAAGGTGCCACAAGAGAATAACTGGCGGCCCCGGCAGCCAATAGGATCCCAGGACGCCCAGGCCAGCCCTATTCCCGCGGCCGCGCCGAGCGTGGGCGGGGTCCTTAGTTCGTTTAGTGTCTCACGCCCGGCAGCGGGCGAAGAGAGCGGCGGCACAAGCGACCAGGTGAGAGGGCCGAGTCCTTGGGGTAGAAGGGCAGGAGGGCTTAATGAGAGGAAAGTCTGCTTTTCGGGTCACAGAGATGCTCTGGAGGGCGTGGCCCCTGGTTTGCACTAGCGATTTCTGGGGACTCTCTCCAGCAGAACCACCAGTCATGGGATAGGGTCTTGCAGCGATTTTAGACCCGCAGCTGCAGCCCGGAGCCTGGCGGTCACCTGGGGAGTGACTGTGGGGACTGCAGCTGTCCCAGGTCCTGAAGTCCAGCTCCGGACGCTAGCCCCTACCCATCTACGTATACCTAGGAAAGATGCTGCAATACACTGTCGTGACACCCATTCTTCTCACACTGTTTAAAGTTGAAGAGCCTGCTGGAATCCCATTTCCGCTCTCTGAGCCTCAGCTGAGGACTGGAGACTGGGCAGATGACTCAGTTGAGAGCAGCCACGGAGGGGCTCCCCAATGGCCTTGTAGAAATAGCTTCCAATATCCAAGATGGTGCTGAGCTGGGAGGATCTCCTCTGGCCCCAGGGCAAGAAAGGCGAGGCCCCAAGATATAAGAGGGCAGGGTTCTCAAGGCTGGGGGAAGTGAGGACGTACCAGGGCAGTCGGACAGCACTCAGACTTCTCCCCCAAACCCTGTGTTTCCTACACAGGTTCGGAACCGACACTCCTAAGAAGCATTCAGAGTGAGGGTACATCAGAAAGATTCCTCTCCTTCTAGTGCCCTGGAATCAGCCACTCTGTCTTACACACAGGGTGCCCAAAACAGGGTGCCCAGAGAAACTTTTTTTTTTTTTTTTTTTTACACACCTACTCCAGCCCTACAGAGAAAGCTCATGGATCCTGGAACACCCAGAGCCAACCCTTGGAGGACTAGCAGACCCCATGTGGATCTGTAGGGCTCTGCTGCAGCCTCACCACCATGGCACGTGGCTTCACAGTGGGCTTTGACCCTCTGGGTCTAGGAGAACTCAGCTCTGGCTCCCTGAGCTCCCTCTCCTCCCGAGGCCACCTGGGCAGCGACTCAGGCGCCACAGCAACACGATACCTGCTGAGGAAGCAGCAGCGCCTGCTGAATGGGCCCCCCCGCGGAATCCGAGCCTCGTCACCCATGGGCCGAGTCATTCTCATCAACTCCCCCATCGAAGGTGGGTGTGGGGCCAAGGGAAGGCTTGGATGGGGAGTACTGAGGACAACAGGAACCATTTAGGGTCTGAGGCAGAGCTGGTATGGTTAGGGGAATTCAAGAGATGGGAGTCTTAGGGAAGGGGATCATCTTTCATCTACCCTTGCCTATCCTGCAGCCAATATTTTAGGACTTCGGGCAGGACTGTGAAGTAGTCAGAAGTTGGAGATGGAACCATGATCTAAGGAAAAGACATGCATTGGCAGGCTGCTGAATCAGCCCCTTCATCCCTGGAACGCTGCCTTTCTCCTGACCCATTTGCATGTACCTTAGAGAGCGGCGCAGGAAGGAGATCTCCCACCAAGCAATCCGTGGTGTGGCCGGCACTGTGCTGAACTGTGGAGAATCAGTGCCCAGGCTTCAGAGCATGGGGGAGGGGCCTAAAGATACAGCAGCAAATGTTCAGGAACAGGCTGGGGAGAGTACCAATCGGAGGAATGAGAGCCAGGGAGTGAGCACCAGAGCTGCGCCCTTAGGAGAGAATGACTGTACATGACCCCTGGCGCTGTGTCATTGCACATGGATTCTGAATCTACCCTGGTTAGGTCCTGTAGGGGACCTGGACAGATGAAGATCAGCTTTCACCTTTGAGGAATGTGCAGCATCGTCAAACTTAGAGACACAGAAATAAGAACAGCTGGTGGGGGAGGGGTTGCAGCTACCCGCCACAGAAAGTCAGACTTGAAAAGCATGAAGCATAATAGGGCAGGTGCTTGAACTACAGTGACAGATGTGAGGCGACAAAGAGTTTTCGAGCAAGGCAGAGCCTTGAATGCCAGGAGGGGAGTGAGGCCCTGTGGGACTGGGCTCTCGTGGACAGGACCAGATAAGTATCTCCAACTCCTCTCCTCTTTCTTAGCCAACACAGTTCCCCTGGCTGGATCCCAGACTGGACTTTTCAGGTCTGGTATTTCGTCTGAGGCAACCATGAGTTTCTGTCCCCTTCCAAGGTCAGCTGGTCAAGGGTGGATTATGCTGCCCAGGATATGGCAGGCATGCTCACTTTCTCATCACTTTCTCATCACTGTCACTGACCACCATAGGCCCCGCTCAAGGCACTGCTGAGGTCACCTCTGCCATTCTGACCAAAAAGCAGAAATCTCCAGAGACAGAAAAGATGAACCTTTCTTTCTCTATTTCTCTCTCTCTCTTTCCTAAAATTTATTTCTTTTTATTTTATGTATGTCTGTTTTGCTTGCATGTATATCTGAATGAGGGTGTCAGATCCCCTGGAATGGGAATTATAGATGGTGATGAAATGCAATGTGCGTGCTGGGGATTGAACCAGGGTCCTTTGAACCAGGGACGAGAAGCCAGTGCTCTTCACTGCTGAGTCATCTCTCTTGTCCCTCTTTCATTGTTTGGTTGGTTGGTTGGTTGGTTGGTTGCTTTTGAGACAGGGTTTCTCTGTGTAGCCCTGGCTGTCCTGGAACTCACTATATAGACCAGGCTGGTCTTGAATTCAGAGATCACCTGCCTCTGCCTCCAGAGTGCTGGGATTAAAATGTGTAATCCTGGATTTTCATGTTTTATTTTATTGGCATCCAGGATTTAAGCTGTGGAATGAGTGGTTTGGCTCTTTTATTTTGCTTAAAAACCAAAACAAACAAACAAACAAAAAAAAAACACCTTTTATCGGTTTTGTGATTGTTTCTTTTAAAGATAAACATGTGGAGTATTGGCTAGCCCAGAACTTGCTGTGTAGACCAGAGCCATCTCAAACCTGTGGCAATCCTGTCTCAGCTTCGGAGTTTTGAGACTACAGACGTGGGCCCTATACTTGGCTTGTTTGCTTTTGAGATGAAGTTTCACTACAGCTGACCTTGAATTTCTCCACACACAGGCTTCAGTGTTCTAGGTGATAAGATTTTTATATCTGGGCTACTGTAGCTAGCTCTTAAATTGAAAATAAAAACCAAAACAAATAAAAATTTTAAGCAGACAAGGCGGTGCCCACTCACAACCCCACACTGGCAATAGTCTCCTCAAGATCACCACAGCCTACACCGTCAAACTCAAAATAACAGGAGCTGGGGGCAAAGCTCAGGGCAGCAGAGTGCTGCCCCGCGTCCCTCACCCTCACAGCCTGCCAGGGAGCCTCCAGGACTCTCATTTTAACAAGTTTTCCAGTGGTGCTGTGCTGGCTACTCTGACCTCATGCCCTGGTCCAAGCTTCTCTGAGAAAGCGATGTCCAGAATGAGAAGGGATGAGGACAGACGCCAACCCTGTCCCCCAAGACAAAGTAAGGATATTACAGGAGGGGAAAGTTTCTAGCTCATAGGAGGCACACAGAAGGTCAGAATGGCTGATGCCCACTGATGGAGGAGAGGGCTGCCAGGAGAATCAGAGGCAGACGTGGAGGGCTGCGCAGGGCCAGGCAGCCTCGAGCTCCCCTGAAACCCACAGGAGCCTCTGATAGCTGATAGAGCACACTCAATTCCTGCGTGAGAATGAAAAGCAAGCAGATGATGGGGGGCTGCAGGGAGGGTCAGGTCAGGTGAGGGAGAGAAGGTTCCATCCTGGGAGAACCCACCATCCTGTTCTCAAAGCTCGGATGTGGCAGGGTGGGCTGGCCCACACGTTTACTCCCAGCATTCAGGAGGTACTACACAGTGAGTTCCAGGACAGCCAGGGCTACATAGTGAGACTCTGTCTTGAAGAAGCAAGAACTAAAACAAACAAAAGCTCGGATGTGACATCCTTACGGCCTAGGGCATAGCGGTCCCCAAGGAGGAATTGAGAATAAAGTAGGCTGGGGAGAGGGAGCTAAAGGCTTTTTAGCCAAGACTGATGGAACCTGAAAACTGTATGATGACAATCAGTTAGGAGCTCCTAGGGCCTCTGTCTTTGTCCTGTATCACCCTTGTCCAGGCTGTCCTTGGGGAGATTTCAGCTCTATCCTTCCTGGCCACACATTGTAACATGATAGACCAAATGGAAGCGTGTGTGCATGTGCGCACATGCGAGCGCATTTTCTCCCTCTCAAACACCTCTGGAATAAACCTTGCCTGAAGGAAAAATAAATTTCCCTTTCTTCAGTGGGACCAGCTTGCAAAGCACTCTTGTCCACCCAGCAGGTACCTCTGAGCCTCACACATGACCTCCTCTCTTTTCACTGCCCAAATCTCTCCCATCTCATTTCTCTGAGGAACCGTCCCCTCGGCCTCATCCCTGGCCCCTGGGCTCTCAGGATGCACGGCAGCACGACGGATTAAAGTTTCTGTCCTCAGATAGTCGTGTATCAGCTCAGCCCCTAGAATCAGAGGCTGTGGGATGGGAGAGGCCTCCGCAGTTCTGCCATAATGTCCCGGTCATGGATGTACTGAGTTTCGGTTTTCGTGCCTCCAGATAGAAAGCTTACCATCTGTCTCAGAAAAAAAAAAAAGAAAAAGAAAGTCTGTCTCTGTCTAAATCCCCTGCGTTGCGCACGCTTGGTTCTGCCTTTAAGTTACACCAAGCATCCAAAGCCTTCCGTGGATACCTTCACAGCTGTTTGAAGTTGGAGCTCATTTTGTTGCATGCTGAGAGCCCAGACTCTGCACAATGGAATCTTGAACTTTCCTTTCTGCTCATTCGGTTCTCAGAACGGCAGATTTTCAGAGATTGAACATAAGAATTCAGAAAACATCACACACACACACACACAAAGTGGAGGGGAGGGAGAAAGAACAGAAAAGAAAAGGAATGAACAGGCTGTTCTACCCCGTGTCCACATCGCCAGTGAGCGGCCTGTAGTCTCAGACTCGCCCAGAGGGAACTTGTATATCACCTCCATTTAGGACCCTGAGTATGCTATGCTCTGGATGGCTCTGCACAGAAGCCTAGCCTCTGCCGACACCAAGCTGGGGGCCCCAGATGCTCTGCGGCCAGAGCTAACGTGGAGGTCACACCTGTGTGATTATCCTCACAGCCAACAGCGATGAAAGCGACATCATCCACGCGGTTCGGGTGGAGAAGAGCCCCTCTGGGAGACTGGGTTTCAGCGTGAGGGGTGGCTCTGAGCATGGCCTGGGCATCTTTGTCAGCAAGGTGGAGGAGGGGAGCAGCGCAGGTGAGCAGGGGCCCCTCGGGGTGAGCATGGTTTGGGATGTGCCTTCATCTTTTGATTGGTAGTGGAAGCCTGGTGGCCAAAGATAGGAACCTGCTCAGAGGGCGGGAAGTGATGGGAGGCAGAACCCACCCTTGGTGAGCGGATTGGGGGAGAGAGCCCAGTGTCAAGGGTCACATGGAGTCCGCTTTGAGGGCTCACCCTTCCCCGCTCCTGCCCAGAGCGGGCTGGCCTGTGTGTGGGGGACAAGATCACGGAGGTGAACGGGCTGAGTCTGGAGAGCACCACGATGGGCAGCGCTGTGAGGCTGTTGACCAGTAGCAGCTGCCTGCACATGATGGTGCGGCGCATGGGCCGCGTGCCTGGCATCAAGTTCTCCAAGGAGAAGACCACATGGTGAGCAGCGCCTGGCCTTGCCCGGAACCCCTGCCCCGTGTCGCCCCCGCCCCTTCCCAGCGGCTCTGCGCCCCCCTCGCCCCCCCCCCCGCCAGTACCCAGCCAAGCCATGCATTCCTCTGGGCACCTCCCCTTGGGGCCTTGTAGGGAACAGAATCGGGGCTCTGGGGCTTGGGGGAGCAGAGAGTGGTAGAGCAGATGCTTAGCATAGTTCATGGGGGGCGCTTGGGAGCCACCCCCAGCACCTAAAGCAAGACAGAAAAGGGGGGCCTCAGCACGTTGTGGTTCGGGTTGTTTCATTGGTTTGATGAAACCTATATTCCACTGAAGTCTGCCGGGAGACGCTCCGCCCGCTCCCCAAGGGAGTCACCCTTTCCCCAGTCCATTGCCGGGGCTTTTAGGCTGGGTGCTCCTGGAGGGGCTGGGTCAGGGCGCGTTGTGCTGTGGCAGGGTGGACGTGGTGAACCGGAGGCTGGTGGTGGAGAAGTGCGGCTCAACGCCGTCGGACAGCAGCTCGGAGGACGGCGCGCGGCGCATCGTCCATCTCTACACAACCTCCGATGACTTCTGCCTGGGCTTCAACATCCGCGGGGGCAAGGAGTTTGGCCTGGGCATCTATGTGTCCAAGTGAGTGCTGGGGTCAGAGGGAACAACGGGGTACCGGGGTACCGAGCCGGGAGCAGCGCGGGAAGTGGAGTTTGGGGATGGGTCAATGCACGTGGCCTGGCCAACTAGTGTCAAAACAAGGGCCCCTTCAGGAAGGCCTGGGGTGTTGTCAACAGAAGGGGGCCAAGGAATGTAGGTGGGCACTCCCATAGCCAAGTGAAGGGGTCTGGGTGCGAGGGAGGTCAGGGTCTTATCGACCCACACCCGTCTGTCCCCAGAGTGGACCATGGTGGGCTGGCTGAGGAGAACGGCATCAAGGTGGGGGACCAGGTCCTGGCGGCCAATGGGGTCAGGTTCGATGACATCAGCCATAGCCAGGCCGTGGAGGTGCTGAAGGGGCAGACGCACATAATGTTGACCATCAAGGTGGGCCAGACTACATGGGAGCAGAGGGGGACCAGGTGGGGGGGGTCGGGGGGAACCCCTCAAGACACCCTCGCTCCTTGCTCGGCCACTTGTGTCCATTCCACAGCCACACGGAAGACAGAGCAGGAACTCTCATGCCCGTTTGGCAAAAGAGGGAACTGAGGCTCAAACTGCTACCAGTCAGTTGCTTGGCTGGTCAGTAGCCTGGCCTGGCTTCCCATATTTCTAGCATAGTAGCTCCTCTTTGGCAAGGCCTCTTCGGAAGGCCTGAAGGCGAAGAAGGACTAATGAATGGGGTAGGAGTTATAGCTGTGTGCCAGGCCTGGGTTGTGGGGATCCCTTTCTCTCTCTCTTTCTCTCTGTGTGTGTTGTTATTGTTGTTGGAGAATTTCACTATGTAGCCCAGGTTGGCTTTTCCTATGCAGCCATGGCTGGCTACATCAGACTCTAGATCCTCCCGCCCCAGATTCCCAAGCGCTAGAATCCCAGGTCTGAGCCACCCTGCCCAGCTGTTCAACACTATTTTTGAGCACCTACAAGGCCAGGTGCTGGGGTGCACAGAGATCAGGACAGACCAACAGGGCCTCTCTGCTCCCAGGGGACAGCAATCATCAGATTTTGACAAACCTCTGCCAGGAAATTAGCAGGAGAGTGGGATAACTGAGGAATGGTCAAGAGGACAGTCACCGAGCAGTGAGAGCCAAAAAAGAATGAATCAAGCCATGTGACGAGCTGAGGGCAAAGGCCTGAGCTACAAAGGGAAATGGCATGTTTAGAAAGCAGGCCTAAAGCCGGTTGTGGTGGCACATGCCTGTAATCCCAGCACTCTGAGAGGCAGAGGCAGGTGGATCTGTGTGAGTTTGAAGCCAACTTGGTCTGCAAAGTGAGTCTAGGACAGCCATGGCTACACAGAGAAACCCTGTCTCGAAAAACAACAACAACAAAAAAGAAAAAAAAAGGAAAAAGAAAAGAAAAGAAAAGAAAGCAGGCCCGATGGACCTCATGGAAAGGAACAGAGCCGCAATGTCCACCCCTATCCCCTTGTCCCATGTCTCCCAACTTCCTACCTGCTCCTCTGATGCCCACTATATCTTTTCCAGGAGACTGGCCGGTACCCTGCCTACAAGGAGATGGTTTCTGAGTACTGCTGGCTGGATAGGTGTAAGTCTGGAGAGGTGAAAGGGAAGAGCTAAAGTCCAAGGGTGGGGCTGGGCTCACTGTGGTGGGGGTTGGGGAACCAGGATGCCCTCAGGATCTTCTCAAATCCCAGAGATGCTTCTAACCTTCACTGAGGATTTCCAGATTCAATGCCAGGGTCTTCTAGGCCTCAAGTCCCAGTGGATGAGGAGAGAAATGGCTTTCCAGGGCCTCCCTGATGGCAATTCGAGCCGCTGGCAGCTCTGACCTCTGCTGATAACCCTGGGTTTCTTCTTCCGCCCCAAAGCCCAAGGATAGTCTGTGAGCATGGCTGGGTCTGAAGGGAAGATAGCAGGCCCCTGAGCTACCCTGCCTCCTCTCCTTTGCAGTGAGTAATGGGGTGCTTCAGCAGCTGTCCCTGGCCTCCGAGAGTGGTTCCAGTGTCTCCTCCTATGCCTCCAGTGCCCCCTGCAGCTCAGGCTCACTGCCCTCTGACCGAATGGATGTCTGCCTGGGACCTGAGGAGCCCACTGGCCATGGCCCAAGCTGGGAGCGAGCAGACACAGCCATGCAGACTGAGCCTGATATGAGCAGCCGTGTGGAAACTTGGTGCAGTGTCCGGCCAACTGTCATCCTCAGGGACACAGCCATCCGCTCTGACGCCCCCTCTTCTACCCGACGCCTTGATTCTGCACTTTCGGAGTCCCCCAAGACTGCTCTGCTGCTGGCCCTCAGCCGACCCAGGCCTCCCATCACACGATCCCAGAGCCACTTGACACTGTGGGGTATGTTGTGGGAGTGCCACTTTCCACACAGGCCCTAGTCCAAACAAAGCCTGCCTCACACTCCAAGGAGCAATCCCTTTGGTCCCAGGGCTTAGGCCAGGTCCCAGGTCCAGCCCCAGAATAGCCTGCTCTAGGATTCAGTTCACTAAACAGGCCTGGGCCCCAAACCCACCCCAATCCCAGCCCCCAAACTGATAAACCCTGGGCCCCGAACCAGCCCCAACTCCAATTTCTACAGGCTGGGATGCTCAGGCCTGTTCAGTTACAGGTACATACCAGACTCCCTACATCCCTAGAGCTGTGTGGTAGGGGAGAGGTGGAAGACAGCAAGAAGACCCCATCCACTCCCACTCTGGAATGGCTGCCGATCCCTTCTGCCTCCTCTCCCTCTCTCTGCCCTTTCCTATCCCCACCCCTGTCCCCTCCTTCTCTTCTGCCCACCCTCCAGCCCCCTCGGGGGCTCCCTCCTATCTACAGAGGAGAAGAAGCAGAGGAAGAAGGAAAAGCCAGGATCTCCTGGGGAAAAGGGGGCCTTGCAGCGCTCCAAGACGCTGATGAACCTCTTCTTCAAGGGAGGGCGGCAGGGGAGGCCAGCAGGGGATGGTCACAGAGAGGCCTGGACACTGGACAGCAGAAGCCCCACCAAAGTCCGCCCTCGCCTGGACCTGGAGAAAGGTAGGTGCTGGAACCCATCTGGCAGTTCCAGGTTGAAATCTACCCCCAGACCCCACCACTCACAAGTAAAACAGAAAGGTTAAAGCCCATTTCTCCTCCTCCTTCTCCCCCCCCCCCTCCTTCTCCTTCTTCGGTTTTTCGAGACAGGGTTTCTCTGTGCAGCCTTGGCTGTCCTGGAGCTCAATCTATAGAACGGCTAGACTCGAACTCATAAAGATCCTCTTACCTCTGCCTCCCGAGTGCTGGGATTAAAGGCGTGAGCCACCACCACCCAGCTTGAAACCCATTTCTTTAGGCACAGAGAGAATAAGTGAAATAGCAAATATAAGTCAGTGCTTTGTCTAACTCCCTAAGGTGCTCTGAAAATGGGGTGGCCACTGCCATCCTGTCATCTTCCCCCTTTTTTTTTCCAGAAATGTAAAGTGACAGATAGACTCAAGGCACAGCAAGAAGTGACTAAGCTGTTTGGAGTCACATACTCTTGAGAGTGGTGGCACCTTTGCTAGGAACCCTGGCTTCACATCCTCCTTCCAGACCACCACAGGCCAATACAGTTCTATCACTATCCCTGGGGAAAGCCACTTCTCAATCAGGGCTCATATGGCAGAAACACACAGTTAGTCATGATGATATCATGACTGAACCTTAAGACCTCAGGCATGCTAGACAAGTCTTCTTCCACTCCCAGCCCCAGCCCCAGGTGAACTTTCCTAAGGCCCTTCACAAGGTGACCGCCAATCAACCCTGTTGAGGCTCAGAGACCAGACCCAACACAGATGAGTTAAGACTCACAATCGCGTGGGACGGAAACTCAAGTCCAGCCAGCCTAAAGTGTGTTTCTAGGCTCAGCCACTGACTTTAGCCTGTCTGAGGGTCAGACAATGCCAGCAGACGTGTCTCTGTCGAGCCTGTGCCTCGACCTCAGAAGGCTTTGCCAGCATGGAGGTGAGGTGGCCATCATTCCTTAGCAACCCTGGGGACAGGGAGTTGTGGTTTTTCTTTGTTTTATTATTATTTTTTTATTTTTTGTTTGTCATATCATTTTGTAGTCCAGGTTGGCCTCGACCCCTCATATATCTGCCTGTGTCCACCTCCCAAGTGCTGGGACTAAAGGCATGTGCCACCACACCTGGCCAACGTGGATATTTTTAAACAGTTGCAGCTGAAGGGGTCAGGCAGGGCTCTCACAGCCTCCTGGGGCCATCTGTCATGCTGAGCAAACCATTGTGATGTGAGAGAAAGACAAGGCAGGAGCCAGTCGTGACAGCGTGACAGACCAGTGATTTCGCTGCTGACCCTGGGCCGTGTGGCCAGCCAGAATGCATGGGCTGAGAATGGAGGGGTCACTCAGGAGACAAGCAGGGCGCTGTGTCCAGAAGCGGGAGTGAACACTGCTATGAGGAGGCAGGCAGGGGATGTGTCTGGAGGCCTCAGGGTGACAGGCCAGTAAGAGAGACATCTCTCCAAATCAATGCTGTGCTGCCAGCTCCTGGCCTCACTCCCCTCTCCTCTCGCCTTTACCAGGTTGCTGTTTCCTCATGGTTCTCAGCCGGCCTCTCTGGCCGATCCTCTCTCCTTCCAAGGCTCCTCTTTCTCCCTCTGTCTCTCGAAGGTAGGTACCACGCAGCTCTGTCCTTGGGGTTCTTCTCTTCCTACATTTCCACATAAACCTCCATCAGTGTTTATCCTGCCTCGTCCTCTGATCTACATCCCTCACTGACCCCCACCCCCACAGTGAGTGAAGTCCCTAGCTGAGTATGACCTTGAAAGCTCTCAAGAGCTCTTGTCCCTAACCCTGACTATTTCTAACTGGACCTCCTGATCTAGCTGACCTGAACCTCTTTCCTCTTTACAGCAGGGAGCGTGGGGCCTGTGCAGAAGTTTGTCACCTGGAGACTGAGACGTGGTAAATGCAGTATCCCAAGCCCCTCCCCACAGTCCCCCACACACTGTAAAGCAGCAGATGGGGCGCGGAAAACCAAACTTATCAGCTTAGTGGTTTTGAACTAAACTCATTTAGAGCTGAGCCTATGGAGTCAGGCAGAGAACTTGGCTAGCTTACTAGAAAGGATAGGGGCAGAGAAGAATTCGGGGGTGAGGGGGTCAGGTTAATATGGCAGTGACTCAGGAGCTGGCTCTCCGCTAATGGCACTCTGTTAGGGAGAAACCCTGTTGGGGAACAGGGGCACAGTGGGATGCTGTCCAGCGAGCCTCTGTCCCTCAGCTGGCCTCTTCAGAGCGTCACCTCTGCCAAGAGAAACTCTACCCTAACAGCTCTCGTCACCCTCACCACCCTCTTGCCCCTGCCCTACAGACCGGGAGAGGGGCCGGGCCCTGCTCTCTGCCAGGTCTGGAAGCCCCTCTGGCCAGGCGCCCAGTGTAGATGAGCAGGTGCAGGCCTGGGAAAGCCGACGGCCCCTCATTCAGGACTTGGCGCGGCGGCTGCTGACCGACGATGAGGTCCTAGCAGTAACTCGTCACTGCTCCCGAGTAAGTCTCTGCCAGGGCCCTGGTCCCTCCTTGCAGGCTACTGTACCCTGACCAGTACCTGGGCTTGTTTCTGGGAGGCCAAAGGCTCCCAGGCAGGAAGGAGAGAGACAATAACTAGAGTCTAAATCCCCCCCAGTGCTAGAGAGCACTGTGAAAGTCTGTAATCCAGGAGATCTGGGAAGGCTTCTCAGAGGAGGTGACATTTAAGAGGAAGATGGGTGACAAACAGGAGGGAAAATCCTTGTAGGCAACCTTGTGCTCTCTCTTGTCCCCAGTCTTGTCTTCATCTCTCTTTCCATTCCTGGGACAGTCAGCAGGGGCAGCCTTATGCCAAGGGCCTGTTCCCCCAAGTAGGTTATCCTTTGCTCCCATCTCAACCCTCCCCCAATACCCACACTAGTCTATTTCCTTTCTCTTCAACCAGTCCCAGGAGGGAGTCAGTTCTGGAGGACTTCCTGGAGCCTTAGTGTTGAGGAGGCTGCAGGGCGCTGCTCCCCCCTCCAAGAGCACTGTAAAGTCCTTCACTCTCAGCCTTTCTCAGGGACCCCAGGGGCCCTGTGGTGGCTTCCTATGGGGAGCATGCACACTGTGGGCAAGCTGAGCAGTTCCACAAAGTCAGCTGTTGCTCTTCCTTCACCCCGTGCATGATGGGGCTGTGTGTGTGTTGTTCTGATGTGTATGTACATTGGCACGTCTATGGGGTTGTTCTAGCTCCTGTGAGCCTGCAACTCTGAGCTCTGGCCACTAGGAGGGGCTCTGTGTCTGCATCTTTCACCAGCACCTTTCCCGCATCCCTCCTTTCCCTGTCCTCTTCATTTCACCGTGGCTCTATTTACCCTGTAGGCTCCACCTACGACCCACAGGTCCCAGCGCTCCCACCCTTCACCTTCTGAAATGGAGCCCGAGGGACAGGCAGCTCTCCCTACTGGTCATGATGTGATGTCCTGACCCCAGGGAGGCTTCCCTCCCTCCTGGGAGCCATCCTTTCACCTCTCTTACTGATTCATTCACACTTCCCTCGTGAGGCAGAAGAGAGTATAAGTTTTTCTTGTTTCTTCCAAATTCCGAGACTTCCCTGGTGTGACACCACAACCTGCCAACCCCAGATTTCCTGGGATTTTCCAGGGCTTCTACCCAGCTGAGATCAATTATGAGCTGCGTGGCGCTAGGGGTTGCTGGCCCCATAGTACTTAACCTATTCTGCATGCCCTCAGAACACGCTCCTCCCAGCTCCCACGCCGCTCCTGGAATCCACTCTAGAAGAGTTGGTGGAGTGCTCTCTGCTTCCCAGACATCCATTCCGAGCCTTCGCCCTTCTTTGAAACTCACATTGCTCCATTGCAATGGTTAACGGTTGACTACCGTATGAGGCTCATCTGTCCCTATTCTCGCTAGAGTCCCCAAGGCTTTGGAAGAAGGTCTCATTATCTGTGTCTCTTTTGCCGCCCAGGGTCTAACAGTAGGTGCTGAATTTGGGTGTGTGGACTTGAGGGACACGCCCATATATGGCAGCGAATTGTTGATCTGAGTCCCTATAATCATGTGTGTAGTTTAGGGAACACAAGCACACATACTTTTTTGTCTACTCCAAAATATTTATTGATGATTGACTTGCGCCCCTATTTCTGGGTCTATGCCCATAGGAATTAACTGTCCCTGGGTCTCTCTGAAACTGTCTCCCTTTCACCACCAGGGGGCGGTATGCCGCCCAAGTAACTTGACTCCCACTATTCAGTTCCCTAGAGTCCGTGGGTGTGGCATCCGGGCTGGTGGCATCCAGGCAGTGCCAGGCAGAAGGGTACAGAGTAGAGAGGCTGTGGACCCACTCCTTCTCCAAGGTCACCACTCTAGCCCTGAATAAAGGGTGGGGACAGCCAGGATCACAGCCCAGTGTTTAGCCTGGGAAAGGGGGTAGGAGAGAGTATGGCCCCTGTGCACTATTTCTCTGCACCAGAGCTAGCAAGAGCTGGATGTCTTGGGTGCCAGCCTTTCCTCATATTTCCTTATCTGTGTGGCTTTAAGCAAATTCTCCCCGAGCCTCAGTTTCTTCTCTGTAAAACAGGAATCATCTCAAAGTGGCTGCCAAATGAAAGACTGCATATAAAACACTCAGAAAGTTACCGTCCAGATGTCATTATTGCTGTTGCCATTTGTTACAGACCTGCTGGTCGCCACAGGCAACCACAAGGTCATTTGACATACCACCTTGTGGACCTTGGATAAGGTGACCCTGTCTTAAAGTGAGGATGGCTAGAGGGGCCCCAGGGTCCCTGTGTGCCCTGGTGTTTCCCCACACAGCTGTAAAGTTGCTGGGGCTGTCTGACCTGTGCTGTCTCTATACGCAGTACGTCCACGAGGGTGGAGTGGAGGACCTGGTGCGCCCCCTGCTGGCCATTCTGGACAGGCCCGAGAAGCTGCTGCTGCTGAGGGACATCAGGTTGGGAGGGGCTTGAGGGAGAGGGAGGGGCAAGAAGCCCCAGTGACCCTAGGGCTGTGTCCCTCCATGTCTGCAGCCCTGAAACCAAGCCCTGCTTGCCCCACCTCCCTGCCCTCCCCCAGGAGTGTGGTGGCCCCCACAGACCTCGGCCGCTTCGACAGCATGGTGATGCCTGCGGAGCTGGAGGCTTACGAGGCTCTCAAGAGCAGGGCAGGTCAGCAGCTGGGGCAGGACTTCTGGCTCCTGAGCTCCAGTGGGCGGGGGGGGGGGGGGAAGCAGAGGGTGGCACAGGCCCTTTGGCAGGCCTATCTGGGAGCCTGGCAGGGGTGGCTGGCCTCTGACCTGCTCTCTTCTCCAACCAGTGCGACCTTCTGCTTTGAGACCTACCAGGCAAGACACGCCACCCAAGCGTCACCTCATCACTCCTGTGCCTGGTCAGTCAGAGTCCATAACCTGGGGAAAGGGGACAACCCCGGGGACACTGGAGCAGGGAGAACAGGCCTTCCAACCTTCCTCTGAGCAGGGTCACTGTTCTCAGGAAGGAGAGCCCTGTCCTCTGGCCATCGCTATCTCAGTCACTCATACCTGTATAGGACATTGTAAAGCTACACATTTAAAAATCTGGTCTCTCAGGCCGGGTGTGGTGGTGCATGCCTGTTATCCCAGCACTTGAGGAAGCAGAGGCTGGTGGATCTCTATGAGTTCGAGGCCAACCTGGTCTACAAAGCGAGTCCAGGACAGCCAAGGCTACACAGAGAAACCCTGTCTCAAAAAACAAAAAAACAAAACAAAAAATAAAAAATAAAAAATAAAAAAAAATCTGGTCTCTTGGCTATGCCAAAGTAGAGCTGCATTACAGTGCAGAGTGCTAGGATACTATCAATAGCTCAATACTATTAATAATAGTTTGGTTTATCCACCTGCTCCAGTATCCCTTTGCCGAGGGGCACTATACACTGGACCTGAGCAAATCCAAGCCTTGTTTGCACATACTTACACATACAGACAACAGTAAAAACCAGGGTCTGGAAAGATGCTCTGGGATGGATGGTCAGGAAGAGCAAGTTAACCTTGACTCTATTCCCCAGACAGTCGTGGAGGCTTCTACTTGCTGCCAGTGGACGGCTCGGAGGATGACGATGGAGAGATGAGGGAGAGGCTTGGGGGCCTTAAGGTCTCCCTCAGTGCCTCTGCCCCTCGACACCACCACAAAGGAATACCTCCTCTCCAAGATGTGCCAGTTGATGCCTTCTCTCCTCGCCGGGCATGCGCACCTCCTCCGCAACCGCCTCCTGTGGCGCCCCGGCCTCCCAGGCCTAACTGGCTACTGACAGAACCCCCAAGCCGAGAGGACCCTCAGCAGAACCAGAACCAGACCCCAGCCCAAAGCCGCAGCCGCAGTCAAGGTCGAGGCAAGGCCCCTGGGCGCAGGCGCTCCCCTTCCCCGGCACACATCACTGCCGCCACCACAGCCAACGGGCGTTACCACAGGCCTCGGAAGGCAAGGCCCTGGCTTCCACGACCTCTGGATGGGCAGGTGGCCAAGGTGGAAGCCAGGCAAGGGCCCCTGGAGAATGGAATTGGTGGGACAGCGGAGGAAGCAACCAGGAACGCTTCCGCTGGGGAGCTGAGGACAGTGACGCTATCCAAGATGAAGCAGTCTTTGGGTGAGTCCAGGTAGCACCAGTTAAGCGGGGTGGATTCCTGGGTTTGAGGGAGGTTGGTGAGCCAGGAAAGGAATCTCAGTACTAAGGTAGATAGTTGGAGAATCTGTTTGGAGGTTGAGACTTGAGACATAAGCCAGAGGTGAGGAGACAAGGGCTGGATTTGGGAATGGGGTTCTATGCATCTCCCGGGAGCTCAAGGTTTGGGGTAAGGCTGTCACTGTGCTTTGGATCTTACCCAGGCATCAGCATTTCTGGGGGCATCGAGTCTAAGGTGCAGCCCATGGTGAAGATAGAGAAGATCTTTCCAGGAGGTGCAGCCTTCCTCTGTGGGGCCCTGCAGGTGGGTGAAGCACCCAGCCTCCCAGGGCTGAAGTACAGCAGGGTCCGGGGCTGTCCCACACTTCTAGCCAGGCATGTTCAGACCAGGTCGTAGGAGGGTACAGAGGTCAGGCCAGTAGGATGGGCAGGCCTAGAGAAGAATCTGTCCCCTCATGCTAGCCTGGGCCTGAGAATGGCCCATCCTGTTCCATCTCAAGTCCCAAGGGACAAAGGGCCATTGTCTGTGCCCCACCCTGCCCCCAACGGCTCCAGGCACAAAAGTCCTATTGTCCATTTCCAGCACCCAGATGGGGTAGGAGTGTCCTAGCTAGTGGAGGTGAAAGGCCCTGCCTTCAGGTTGGGTGGTGGGTGGGAATGACGTGAGGGCTGAGTATTCCGTCTCCATGCCAGGCTGGCTTTGAGCTGGTGGCAGTGGATGGAGAAAGCCTGGAGCAGGTGACCCACCAGCGAGCTGTGGACACCATCCGCAGAGCCTATCGAAACAAGGCTCGGGAACCCATGGAACTGGTGGTCAGGGTCCCCGACCTGCTGCCCTTATCTTCTGACCTATCAGTGGTTAAGGACCAGAGCCTTCCTGCTGACAGTTTCTCTGCCCATGGACCCACTGATGATACCCCGATTCCCACCCAGCTACCTCCCACTGAGGCTGGGCAACTACAGCACGCCCCCAACTCAGCCCTTCAGGCTCCTCAAAGTACCCCTAAAGGCTCCCCTATTCCCAAGGATCTGCATGAGCCTTTCCACTGACCTCAAGTCCCAACGCATAGGCACCTGTCCTATCTGCCTGGAAGCCGAGATGCCACACTGGTGCTCTGATCCACTCAAAAAGGCTCTCCGGCCTTCAAGATAAGCTGGGTGTTCAAGAACAAGGTGCTAGTGGACAAACTGTGTCATTTGCAGTCCCTAATCCTGGAGTGCTTCCCAGTGATGGGACAGAGAAACTCAAGACTGGTGAGAGTTTTTTTTATGATGCCCCTGGCTCCCTGGACCCTGAACGGTTTAAACTCTGAGTCCTCAAGGAGGCTGCTGTATCCATCCCCCAGGCTCACGCAGTGAAGAGCAGCATGGCAGGCTTTTCTAGTTCCTCAAACCTCATTAAGACTCATGTTGTGGGTCCCCTGATTCTACTGGGTTAGTCCTCCCAGCACCCTAAGGACTCCATGAGAGGTAGTTGAGGAGCAGCAAGCAGAGGGGACAGATGTCAAACAAATTCCCCTGTCGTTCTTTATCCATCACGTTTTTTTAAAAACAAATTTTTTTTTTAAATTTTTTTCTTTGGGTTTGTACAAGAAATTTACAGTGTGAAAAATATACAAGTGAAAACGAGGGCCATAAACCTGGAATTAGGAAGGGCTGCTTGGTCACAAACACGAATAAACAAGACATTGCTGAGTTCTTCCTTTGGTCTGACTTCAGCCCCCTCAGCTCAGGCGAGGCTTGCAGAGCTGGGACGTGGGGATCAGACCCCATTCCTAGCCCTGTCCCTCCACGTGGGCATGTTGAGGGCAGGAGGCACATCTGGAGCAGCTGACGCCATCTGGCTCTCTCTGGCTTCGGGCAGGTAGAGTGTGGAAATGGGTAGTCCCTTTCTCTACCCAGCTGGAGTGGGCTGGCAAACATCTGGGGTTAACGGGGCTGGCAGTGGCACCGGCAGCTGGGGAGTGAAATGGCAGAGTAGCGACAGCGAAATGGAACTTCAGGGGTCTGAGCTTGCTCCCCCCAAGTCATAGGGCCACCTGAATGCTTGGCAGAGGCCCTTTGGCTCTGAGACCTGGAGCGCTCAGCGGATCCTGGGACCCAGGTGGTCCCGTGGCTTGAACCCCTTATGATGCCCTAGATTTCGGTGGCAGTGATCTCCTCCAGACAGATGCAAGGGGCTGGCTCAGCCAGGCCCAAGTCAGCAAGCTCTCGGGCCTCCAGCTCCAGGCTCAGCTGCTGCAGTTCCTGCTCCAGCTGCCTGTTCCGCCGGCACATCTGGATGTAGTTGTGCTGCAGCTGCTTCTGGTAGCGGATCACCTGTTCCTTCTCCGCCTGCCAGGCCAGCCGCTCCCCCTCAAAGCTGTCCCGCTGCTCATCCCCTCGCCGCTGCTCCCGCTGCAGCTCCCGGCGCAGCCGCTCCACCTGAGCCCGCAGGCTGCCCCCTGCCCCAGCTGCTGCCCGCTGCACCTTAGCCTCGTCACTCTCTGCCAGGAGGAACGGGTCGGTGGTGGCTGGGGGCTCCCGGAGGCCCGCTGCTTCAGCATCCAAATGGCCAGCCTTCTCCCGGAGCCGGTCGGCCTCCTGGCGGTACCGCTGTAGCTCCTGGGAGCAGGTTTCCAGCTCCAACTCCCGGGCCCGGGCTGCCTCCTGTAGGCCCCTGGCACGGCCCTCACTGACCCGCAAAGCAGCCCGGGCCTCCCGCAGGGCCACCCGCAGCGCCACCAGCTCGCTGCCCTTCTGTACCAGCTCTGCCTGGGATTCCTTCAGCTGCTGCTTCAGCAGGGAGATCTCGCCTGACTTCTGGCACACCTGTGGGTGGAAAGTGGTGAGGAAAACATGGTGAGGACTCTCTGGGTGTTGGGCACTTCGTATTCAAGGAGATGCTGTCTCATTATTTTACACACGGAAGCACAACAGGTGGCGGAGCCCTGTGACACACCCATGGCTTTGCTTCTAATAAGGGGTGAAAGAACAGAGACCCAGACCTTTCCCCTTCAACACTGGTATCCCTCTACCATACGCTGTTTAAGCACTGCCTAAGCCTGGAGATGGTGGCGGCAGGTACGGCAGAGTGGAGTGGGGAAGTCCTGGGGAATGCCCGTATGTCCAGGCAAAAGCAAGTATCTTAGGCAGGAGCAGGCATCAAAAACAAACTGCCAGCCAGGTGCGGTGGCGCACGCCTGTAATCCCAGCCCTTGGGAGACAGAGGCAGGCGGATCTCTGAGGCCTGGTCTACAAAATGAACCAGGACAGCCAAGGCTACACAAAGAAACCCTATGTGGGAAAACCAACCAATCAGCCAACCACATGGCCTGGGTTCGTATCTCAGCCCAGCCACTATTAGTTTAATTCTAGTCTCTAGCTCAGGTCCTCATTCATGAAATGGAGGCATTAACAATATTCACCCAATAGGGAAGAAAATGCCACTAGCTACATGGATACCAAACAGCGAGATCCAACACAGAGGCCCAAGGAAACCCCCAACCCAGGAAAACAAGGAAGGACAGACCCTCTGGAGTAGCTATCCCGGCTACCTCTGCAGTGTGTCCTAGTGTGACCGCTCCAGCCTGCGCCGTGCCTGTCCTGCATACCTCCCATTTGGTCTCCTCCAGCCGCGGCCCAAGCTCCCGCTGCTCCCGTTCAAAGGTAGCGCAGCGGCGCTCCAGCTGCTCTCGCTCCTGCAGCAGCTGTGCAAAGTCATCCTGCAGCTGGCGCTTCTCCTGCTGCAGCTGGAACACCTGCAGTTGCAGCAGCTGTTGGGCCCGCTGCACGCGCTGTGTGGCTTGCTGCGCCGGGGCCGCACAGTCCTCTCGCTCTCGTGGCCAGTGCCGCGGCCGGGCCCCAAATGCCTAGGGAAAGCAAGCACCCTAGAATTGTACAGGGTCCCCCACCGGCCGAGCACCAGCCTCTCCTGCTTGGGTGGCTCCTTGTCTGGGCCGAGGAGCCCACTAATCCAGAAAATTATGACAACAGTAAAAGCAAGCACTTACACAGCACTATTCTAAGCATTTTATAGCTTTCGCCTTATTTAATCCTCACAACCCCCCTAGGGAGTCAGAACTATCCCCATTTACACAGGGAAACTGGGGCTTGGTGAGGTTAAGTAACTTGCTCAAGGGGCTGGAGAGATGGCTCAGAGGTTAAGAGCACCGGCTGCTCTTCCAAAGGTCCTGAGTCCAATTTCCAGCAACCACATGGTGGCTCACAACCATCTGTAATGAGCTCTGATGCCCTCTTCTGGTGTGCAGGTGTACGTGCAGGCAGAACACTGTATTCGTGTATTAACACGAATATATATCAAGTAAATAAATCTTAAAAAGAAAAAAAGTAACTTGCTCAAGTCTAACAGATCCTAAGAGCCAGTGCTAGATTCAATTCACATGTCCTGCCTCCTTAGTGCTTTGAAAGTTAAGCTGAAAAACGCTGGAGGTGTCACACCCCGAGTCTCTCTCCTCTCCCTCCCCAACAGCAATGCTCCCTGCACTGTTCCTAGGATTCCGGGTGTCCAGCCACACCACCCCAGGACTGCCTCTGGCCGCACCTGACACACGGTTGCCTCACTCTCATCCATACTGTCCCGCAGCTGCTGTAGCTCTGCCTCTCGGTCTCGAAGCTTCCCTTCCAGGACACAGTGTAGCAAGGCCTCATCCGAAGGGGGAGGTGGGGGCGGAGGGGGCGGAGAGCGGTCTCCACCTGAACTGCTGCCAGGGGAGGCCCGGGCACCACTGCCCAAGAGCCCCCCAGCTACACGGCCCCCCAGAGAACCTGTGCTTTTGCTGGAGGAGGAACGGCCACTGTCCGAATGGGAGGGCCCAGTAGGGACCCCACGGGCTGGACCAGGCAGTGCCCCTCGGCCAGGGCCGTGGGAGGGCAGGTGCCCGCCTGGGGAGTTGGTGGTCGGCTCAGCACCTCCGGTGCTGTAGGTGGGCAAGCTGGACAAAGAATTTCGGCCAGAGTCTGACAGTGTTCCCGATGGGCAGCCACTGGCCCAGCCACTCAGTGCCAAGGGTTTGTCAGCAGCAGAGGAGGAAGAAGAGGAAGAGGAGGAGGAGGCTGGCCCCCCAAACAGCTGAGTCAGGCTGCCCTGGCTCCCAGATAGCCCTGCAGCTCGAGGACCCAGGAAGCCAGGTAGGGGTGGTGCCCCCCGAGGTTTGGGTAGCACTGGCTTGAAGGCTGTTGGCCGGATCAGGATTTTCTCCATGTTCTGAAATGAGGTACCACGTGAGACATGAGTGTGATCTTCCCCAATCCCTTTCCTTTTTTTTTTTTTTAAAAAAAAAAAAAAAATTTACTTTTGTTGTACTTTTGAGACGAGGTTTTTACTCTCTTGGCCTGAGCTCACTCACTAGGTACCCCAGGTTGGCCTGCAACACAAGGATTCACCCTTTCAAGAAGTGGGACTACAGGTGTACCACACCCAACTTGCTTGCTTGATCTTTCAAAACATTAGTCATGTATGTGTGCTAGCGTACACTGGCATGCCCGTGTGGGAAGGCCAGACGTCAGTGTCAGGAACCTTCCCAGTTACTTTCCAGCAAGCCCCTGGGATCTGTCTCTGCCCCACTAGTGCTGCGATTCTAGTCCTGGGCCACAAAACCCAGCTTTTTACACAGGTACCGGGGATCCGAACTCAGGTCCTTCTGTTTGTGCAGCAAGCATTTTACCCATGTAGCCTATCTCCTCGAGCCCCAAACCTCGACCTTTCAAAACCCTGCAACCTGCCTGTCTTACCTCTATACATGAAAAGCAACTGCTCCCACCGGCAGCAGGCCTCTTAAAGACGTTACATAATCGAAAATGCTCGTTTTTAATCATTACAATAGCCATGTAAGCAAAATGATACCCTCTTCTTAAGTGAGGATCGAAAGTGAGGATCAGAGGCCCAGGGAGGTTAAAAGGCTTTGCCCAAAGACACACATCTGTGTGATAATGATCGAAGAAAGGAGGCTGGATACGGTGGAGCACACCTTTGACCCCAGCACCTAGGAGGCAGAAGCAGGTGGATCTCTGTAAGTTCAAGGCTAGAATGGTCTACATGTTCCAGGGCAGCCAGGGCTATGTAGAAAAAGCCAGTCTCAAAAAAAAAAAAAAAAAAAAAAAAAAATTAGGCAAGTACTATTGTTCATCTGAGGGT